GCTCCTGTGTTAGGCGCATCGATATTAATAAGTGTTATATCTTCTTGATCTATTGATTCTTTTACTACAATATAGTGCCCTTCTTTGTCTCTTCGAACAGTTTTTGTTTTAAAGCCTATTTTGTCAGAAATTAGTTTCACGACTCCAGCTCTTTTTTGATCTCCATTTGCATGGAAAACCTTCTCCAACCCTTCACTTTCAGTCCATGTATGTCTTTATCCATGAGGTGGGTTTCCTGTAGGCAACAGATAGAGGGTTTCTGGTATTTTCTTTCTCTTCTTGGTGTTTTTTTCTAGGTCAGAGGTTTCATCTTCTACATCAGAGATTGAATCTTCTGTATGGTCTAATCAACTTTTAATACTTCCAAGAGAGTTTTTGATTTCCTGTATTTCAGACTTCATCTCTAATAGCTCCATCTGACTCTTTCTTAGCCTGTTCATTTCTTCTTTCATATCGTGGAAGGACTTCCTAATCTCCTGAAGTTCTTTGTCTCTTTTCTGTTCCAACTCACAGAATTTTTTCATCATTAAGGTTCTAAATTCTTTCTCTGACATTTTGGTAACATCGTCAGATTTTAGGAGAGATGGAGGGAAGTTACTCTTTTCCTTCGATGGAGACATATTTCCTGACTTATTTAGACCTGAGGCTCTTCTCCTACTTCTAGCCATTAGAAGATGTATTCATTTTTGAATATCTCTTAGGAGAACGTTTTTTCAACTAGGAGCCAGTGTGTTTCCCTTTTGCTGTGAATTGATGTGTGCAGAAGTAACTGTTGTTTTTAGCAATGTGGTCTCAAGAGGGGTACTGTAGTCAAGTGTCTAAAGAGTACTATTTACGTATTCACAGGTGGTTCAGTACAGAGGAGGATCCCAGGAACCTTACCATACTAGGGAATTTCAGAACTGCGATTCTGGATCTGTCTAATCCCTCTTTAAAGGGAGCGGGGTCCTTGTCTTGGGAACCTGGAAGTGGGCTGGGGGCAGTGGTGCCCCTGTCTCAGTTTCCTTTGCTGGCCAGTGGGCTAGAGATGGAACAGGAGGGCTCCTGCAGGGCAA